CGTGCGTCTTTATTTACAAGTTACAATGGACTAGTCAACAAACATAAATTGTACACACATCAGCAATTTATGCTTCGTCAGTCTCTCACTCTCACGCACTCATACACACTCATACGGCAGCTGTCATTCTCGATCTTGGGAGCCACTATAGAGACTCACATGATAGATGCGCGTATCCAGGGGCTTTCACTACTTACTTCCAACAGATTCAAGAGCTCACCTCACCCAAAACGAGGAACAAAGCGTACACACTAAGATTTTTTTACAGTATACTGTAATTTTTTACCGAATATGGAACAGCTGAACATTCGGTAAATTTTTATTTACAATCCGTTCTGTAAATTTTCTTCGGTTGTGGGCTGTCAAAATTTACTGACCTGGACTGTAAATTTTACCGAAAGATCGATAATGTTTACCATAGCGTTCAGTATAATTTTTACCGAATCGACTGTACTTTATTTCCAGAATAAATAATAAGCATTCTAATTTTTATTGACTAATAATTAACTATTTTCTTGTTTCGCCAAACCAAAAGATTCATTCCTTTTAACTATATATTTTTGAAGAGACATTTTCATCTTGCGTTCGTACAGAAAATTTGAAAAAAATCATTGAAGAACCCGGACTCGATCGATTCAGTAGCAAACTGCGCTAAAATTCAGTTTTTGCGGTAGAAGAGGCCATTGAGTTGCCTAACGTCTATGGCGTCTGAAAGAAATTGGCCTAAAAATTATACTAATTATATTTTCGGCATAAATTGCACGGAATCTAGCTAAAAGTAAAGTACTTACATTTCACAACGTAGAACCGAAAGACACGCAACATTGAAATGGCAGCCAATAACTTTTACAGAATTCGGTACTCATTCGTCACAAATTTTACAGAATTGCGGAATCACAGCCTTTTACAGTATCAATCCGCAAATTTTATTTACAGTTTTCGGTAAATGTATGTAAATTACGGTAATCCAGCAGTTCTGATTGCCGAAAATTGGTAAAACAATATTTTTTACAAAGCATTCGGTAAAAATTACATTTTACCGAACAAATCCGGCAAAAATAGTACCGAACAAGATTTAAGGAATTTGGTGTAGCCGGCGGCTCAAGGATGCCAACTGTTCAGACCATACCTGATGTACCTGATTCGCAAAGCTATGAAAGTTTGGTCACGATACCATCAGAGTCAACGCTAAGCACAATTAAATCAAATGAAGACTTCACGATGCCTGTAGACGTCGAAATATTCAACCGAGGAATAGCAGCTATTCGTGTTTCGCCTATAGATTTAGGTAAGGTTAAAAATGTTCACTATCCTGAAAAAAAAGTGCGCTGAAATCGTCGAAGGTGTACGAAGAAATATTTTTAAATTAGACGCTAAAACAGAAAAAGTAAACGAGTTTGATGAAGTCATAGAAAATATGAAAATTAAATTTTTAAATTCAGCCACAAGGCAAGAAAAACTATCAATTTTATCATTGTTGCCAAAATCATGGTCAGTACAAAAAATTGTAGACGAATTTAAAACCAGTAGAAATATGGCATCAGATGCAAGAAAGGAAAGAGATAATGTATTTGATTCATCTCAAGGTTCAAGCTCTGGAAAAGCTTTGAGTAATGAAACAAAAGAACTGGTTTTGAATTTTTTTGAGGACGATGATATAAGCCGTGCAATGCCAGGCCAAAGAGATTTTGTTAGCGTAAAGACAGGAAATAAGAGATTAGCTGTTCAGAAAAGATTGTTAATGATGCCATTGAGAGAAGCTTTTAATCGCTTTAATGAAATGTACGTCAATGTAAAAATAGGGTTTTCATCATTTGCAAGCCTCCGGCCAAGGCAATGTAAACTATTGACTATCACAGGAACACGTTTGTTTGCGTTTGCACTACGCATGAAAATGTCAATTTAATTCTACATAGCTTAAAAAATACAATGTCTTGAATGATCTAAAAACATTAACGAATATATTACTTTGCGAAAATAAGACAACTCATTGCCATCTACGAAGATGTAAAAACTGCCCAGATACCTCAGTTTTAGAAGACAGTTTATTGAAACAACTGGAAGAAAACTTTGTTGAAAAGCTTTCATTCGAACAATGGGTTACCACTGACAGATGTGATTTAGAAACTATTGTAAAGCAAACCGATGAGTTTGTTTCATTTTTCAGCTCAAAATTAGAAAGTTTGATTCCGCATGATTTTGTAAAAACCGAACAATCCAATTTTTTGAAAACTACAAAACAAAACTTGCAAGATGGTGAATTTTTAGCTATTTGTGACTTTTCTGAAAATTACAGCTTCGTTTTGCAGGATGAAGTTCAATCACACCATTGGAACGTGCAACAGGCCACAATCCATCCTTTCGTAATATATTATACTGAAAATATGCAAATTAAACATTTTAGCTTCATTATAATTTCTGAAGAACTAAGACATGATTCAGTCGCTCCGCAGGGATAGGCAAATAACACGGAGCGGTGCAAAAAACACTTGTGTTTCTCTCAAATACTTGTGCGCGTCTCCTATATTTGGTAGGAGAAAGAGACAAAGGAGAGAGTGATTTCATACCTGAGTTAGAGTAGTTGGGCTGCACGGGTGCTACTCGCGCATAGCACAATCGAGTAGTGCACTGTGTTTTGACGGGAGTAGCTCTTTTCAATTGAGGGAGACTTGTCTTAGAGGTTCACAGGAATGACTCTTAACGTTGATCGGGTGAACAATATAGATGCTAACGTAAAATGTGTTCGGCATTCACAAGTGTGAAGCAAGCGCATATTACGAAAGCTAAATTTTGCAATTCAAATTTCCAGCGTCTTTTTCCAGCACAACAAGTCAAGTCAAATCATATTTACCTTCGCTTTCAGAAGCTTGGGTATAAAAGTGCAGCATTAAATAAAATAAAATAAAATAAAATTATTGTTTCGTTGACTTACAAATGTATCTCATTCCTGCATTAAGGAAAGTAGTGAAGGTGTGGACCATCGCTAATATAATGTAATGTGCGAACTTCGGAGCTGTAACATGCTACAAGGTTTTTTTCCTTGATTTGTTTTCCGTCGATCTTGTTTTCCGTACTGAGTACTAATGCCAGGGAGGCAGCTCCAACATCTGGACTTTACCTATCAACCCATAAACTCATGGACCGGGGACCAACGGCTTTACTACTCTAGGCGTGATCAGAGATGTTATGCCTCAGAAAATCCCGGCGGCGCCGACTGGGATTGAACTCAGGTTTATTGGGGTGAGAGGCAATCATGCTTGCCACTACACCACCACCATCGGACGGTATAATAATTATCAGCAAAAATCCGATATCAAAATAGCCACGTAACATGATATAGCTCCGTAGTGCGAATGTAGCATAAAGACATAATTTTAAAACCAATCAAAGCAATCACGTAGTTGTTTATTTATTGACAGTTTTCCCTTCCAGTAAATAAGAAGAATAATCATTACTAGAGAGAGTCTAGATATGTAGTGAAGTGTAAAAGTATCATCCAAACGTGTACGCTGTTTTCAAGATCATTAATTTAACAATTATGTACGAGTACAGCACTACTGCTATCATTACCTATTAGCAAAAAAATGTCTCCACTTGGTTCCTGGATCAATAGGATGGAGCAACATACTGCTTTGAAATCTGCAACATTGCTTCTATGTATTTTAATTTGTCTTTTTTGTTACAGAATGTACTGCAAAGTATTGATAAATCTTTAAAATGCCTAGAAGAGGTAACGGTTCAAGGTGTTTTTGAAGGAAATCATGAAAGTATCAGTAAGCAGTATTAATTTGAATAATTTGCAATACATTTTTAAGTTTTATTTCAAATTAATCAACATAAGTAGTTAGTGAATCACTTTCAATGTGATTTTTAATTGATTGATCTTATTTTTTTATTGCGTGGTAAAGTGTGATATTGAAAAATCAGTTCATGTCAAAGATTATGTTCTAAATGCAACAATTCATCATCACAATATAGGTGTTCTTGTTTTTATTACGACTATGCGCCTATCTCAGTGGTCTAACTGTACTTCGTGCTAATGGCATAGTTCCTTCTGCCGAAGAGTACAGCCACACATGATGATTTGGTTAGCGAAAGTATTTTATATAATGGTACATCATATATATGAGATGATTGATTTGCTGCGATAAAATATAATTTCTTTTTAAACTTTTAAAATAGTATGCAAATCATCTAAACAGAAAAAAACATGTATATTGTGATAAATGAGGCTAAGTCCTGAATAATACAAAATGTTTCTTGTAAACTATCAGGTCTATTCTGCACGGTATATGAGGTGAGGTGAACAATTATTGTCAATTGTCAATTGTCATATTTGGATTGAAATATGCCTATATTTCAATCTAAATTAACTGATGCTAAAAATTTACTTCAACTGCGCCTGAATTTGGAACCCAATTCAATTATATGGTTAAATAATGCAACAGATGAGTAATTATCTGAATACGGTGAATTATTCTATCTGTGAATTATTCTTCTTTGGTTCTTATTACACTCCAGTGGGACTTTTCACCAGTTCTCAACTTATTGTTCTTTGAGCACTTCCACAAAACTGTCTAGACCGGACTGGGAATCGAACCAAGCCACCGCCAGTATGGTCGACTGAGCTAGGGGCGACCCTGAATCGGTTAATGAAAACTAAAACAAACAAACAAATAATGATACAAATATGGCAGGACACGGCATGATCGCCATCTTAAGGATATTTTTTTTTAACATCTAATAATCGCAATTAATACATTAAAATATTGTCTGACTAGTTATTTTATGTCTTCTTTAGCTCCCTAGGGTTGATATAGTTCAATGTATTCAATATTGACTATTTACAAAACGAATTTAAAAAAAACAACGTATTTACACAGTTCTTTGATACCCCGGGGCAAGATGAGCATCCGTGTGAGGGAACACGTGCACCTTTAGCAAAATTTATTCTCACATAATGTTTTTAAATTCAAAAAAAAATATTATGATATTCCTAAGTTTATCAAAATAAAATACCAGCACTAAGTTGAAACATTAATTTAAAGTAGTATCAAAAAAAATATAGTGGTTATAGCAAATAGAGAGTATTTTTTTTTTCGTTCGGCATATTTTATCAATTTTTCGGTAATTATTGAATATTTCTAAATTAGTTTTGGAACGTTGTATCTAAGGATCACTGTTTAAGGGTACGTATGCGCAGTTTTAAAAAAATGCGGAATTGTTTATGTAACATTTAAGGGTGCTAATCTTGCTCCAGGTCGATCTTGCCTCGTAATACCATAAACATTCAAAAGCAATTGAGTTTAGCTTATTAATTCAATCTTTATTTCTCTAGTTTCAGCAAATGAAAAAAAAAATTAAACAGTTCAACAGATATAAAATGAGTATGTTAACCATTGCAACAGCAATGCCAATGAAAATAATGAATAATATGCTAAATGTTTAGCTGTTGGAATAATTCGGCATTCAATCTTATCAATAAAATGTTTGACAATGTGGTTTCACTCAAACGTGTCCTCAGTTTGGTTAGAATAAACGCCAAAGTGCTGAAAGCCCGTTCAGTCGAAACTTGTGTGGCCGGTGTAGAGAGTACTACTGCCGCCAATGAATACATGTCTGGTTTTCCTTGCTTTTGACTGTACCAAAAGTCCAAGATTGACTGACCCCTTTCCAATTTTAGGCGAGGTAAACGGCTCAAATCCTCCAGTTCATCAAACAAGCATGTCGAGATGTTGGAATCATGTGAAACCTCATGTGAACGAAAGAAACTTTCCAAAATGTCGTCGTTTGAACTAAGTCCTTCTATGGGGTCCTCCATGGACACGTTTGTTAAACCGCCATGAGCAACACGCTGAATGCTCCGCCAAGTTTGTTTCAAGTGTTCCTGTAAATAGTATTGTGTATAAAATATAGCCCACATTTTTTTTTCTTTATCTGTCCAATTTTAATATCCATGCTTACCAGGGCACATTGACGTTGTTCTTCAGAAATCAGAGGAGTGTCCCGATAGTTAATGCGTTGATCAAGATAAATTGCTGCCAAAAATGCTTTGTTGTCTGTTAGAGCTGATTCTCGGTTTTTCATTTTCGTCAACAATTGCCTGGATAGTGGAGTATCAGTCTTCTCCAGGAGCAATTTGCAACGCAGCCACAGCAAATAAAAATCACCGAACGTGAGTTGTGATGACTGGAGAGCTAACGTCAGTTGTGACATGGGTTCAAAACCCACGACAAAATTGTCGATGAAGTTCCATGTTTCGTTGGGTATGGCACATTCCTTGTCATTTTTAGTTATCGAGCAAATGAATTCTTTTTGAGATTTCAAAGATAAAACCATATAGTACCATGAATTCCAACGTGTCTCGCAACTGAGTTGTGGAATTTCCTTGTTGTTCAACTTGAAGAGATTCTTGTAAGGCATTTTTCTCAATTTCTTGACGAATGCCTGAATGGAGTTCAGACACTTTTTTAGTTTTCCTTCTTTTATAGTGTCTGATACTGCTAGTTGTGCAGTGTGAGCAGCACAACGTACTCCACAAAATATTGGTGCTACTTTATTCATAACACTTACTTCGTGCTCAGACTCTTCGAAATCATCAGATTCGTTATCCTCATTTCCGTCCGAATTACCTGTGTCATCATCGCTGTCGTCATCTGAAGCATCATTAATTGAGTTGATTCTGTAAAGGGTATTTTTTAAATTAGCTAATAAATCTATGCAAATCATACTTACCCGTCCAAAGTGCTGTCCTCCTTGATCAAGTTAAAGACTTCCGACTCCTGTTGCCTAACTGCAAATCTCTTGTTGGTTGCCAGCATATTGGAACCGTTGTCCGTTGTGCAACTGAATATTTGTGACACGTTTATTTTGTATGCCGACAAAGTTTCAAGCACCGCTTTTTCAAGGTGCTCTGCTGTATGCCGATCTTTTAGCTCAACCATAGACAAAGTGCGAATTTTTATTGTGTTCTTCTCGATAAATTGAACATTTATACAAAGAACGTCACGGCACAATCGTGTGGCAATGTCAAGTTTCAGGCAAATCATTTTCCATTTCACTTCAGCCATGATTCGATTCTTCAGCTTTTCGGATACATTTCCCAGAATCGGTTTAATTGACCGAGAAGTAACGCGTTCTGTACCTTGGCCAAACTTTTCCTTCAAACCTTTCTCTACCGGATCCAAGATTCTGCGAAGCGCGGGACAATCGAGTACTTTCAATGGAACACCGTTGACCGTAACTAGTTCAACAAGTGATTTGGTATACACCTTGTTGTTGAGTTTCACCGAAATTTTCTTGTTACCGGTAATACCATAGAGGTAACTCTAAGACCACTGGGTCCCGAAGAAAATCATTATTATTTTTGGCTCACTCAGTACCAGAACAACGGTCCCAAGCAGTCCCAAGCTATTTCACTCACCCCTGCATGTTCTGCATGAATCCACACACCCCTGATGTTATCTGTCAAACTTTCATAGCGAATCAAAACAAACATAGTGTAGTAATAGAATTTCAACTAGAATAGGGTACGTTAATCGTTTGCTTGGGACCAATAGGCTACTAAAGTGGTGAGCCAAATTAAAATCGTTAGTTTCGTATTGATTGTTGGTAATACTGTCTATTGCCTCTTCTTCCACCACACTCAAGCCGTTTTCAAATTCGGTCAGCAATCCGTTTTCTCTGGCAATTTCCTTGTGCTGAGTCGTATAATGCCTTACGTATGTAAAATTGCGTAAGGATTTCACCAGTTTTCCGCAAATTTTACACGTTGCCACTTTTTTTTGTTCGTCGACATTGAACAAATCAATTTCTGGCTTGCGCTTCTTATGTCTGCTACCTTCCGCCATGACAACTTTACACTGATTGTCTTGCAGCTTGAAAACAATACCAGTAGGGGACAATGGTACTCAACGCATCCCCTGGGCAGAACGCACCAGCTCACTTCCATTAGTGTTTTTAATGGCTCTTTCGTTACTTTTTTGATGTCTTATCAAGCAGCACTTCCAGCATAGCATCTGAACTCGAAATGCTGCATGATAAATCCAAGAATTGTATTAAAAATGCCAAGAAAAACTCAAAACAAAATGAAAAAGTGCGTTCTACCCCGGGGGTGCGTTATGTACCATTCTCCCTTACCTACCCACAGGAAACACCTATAGCAAAAGCACACTCTCAAATAAAGCAAAAGAAAACGAGAGAGAGATTTTACTGTGTTGGAGCAGCAGCTCTCCAACACGAGCAAAATGAAATGTGCTGCACGATTTGAAATGCTCTTTCTCGTCTCTTTGGAAATGAAAGTGCTGTCTCCTAACAGTGCGTGTTTTACTCGCAGATATATGAGTAGCACCTGATCCCTGAGTCGCTGTCAATTTGTTTATTGATATAATGATAAACTTTTTACAAATTGATCAAAATAAAAACATAAAAAAAAATTATTTTATGTCAGATGGTGCTGCTTCACAGTATAAAAACCGAAAAAACTTTTCTAGCCTTTATAAATTTAAGTCAAAGTATGGTATTGACGCTGAATGGCATTTCTTCGCAACATCGCACGGAAAAGGTCCATGCGATGCTAGGAGGTACGATAAAACGCATGGCTACCAGAGCAAGTTTAGCCAAAGAACGCGAACACCCGATAAAGACTGCAAGAGAGTTGTTTAATTGGGCAAACAAACGAAAAGAAGAAGAACTTACAAAGTTGTCATTTTGTTATTCTACTACAGAAGAATACGAAAATATGTCTTTGCAGCTAAATAATGAATATAATAATGCAAAAACAATTCAAGGAACTCTAAAATTCCACTCATTTCTTCCTCTATCAGAAAATACAATAAAGGCAAAGCTTTATTCAAACTGTACTGACAATGATGCCAAAATATTCAATATTGTTAAGAAAGTTGTGTAAACAATAATTTTATAAAAATACAGGAATAAAAATAAACTGATGATATCCAACATATAATGTTATTTTTTATTGCGCACAATCACCATCCCTGAAAAATAAGCTTAATTCGCTCTTTTGAATCTTGCTAATTGAGGAGCTTACATTTGCAGTTCTCAAAAAGGTGTATCTCGAAATCGAGTTGTCTCATCGGTTTGATGTCTGTGGCGATGTTCGGCAATAGAGAGAAAATATGCACAGTATAAACACATCCAGTTTAAATGGATTAAACTGTTAGGCGATATGCAAGAGTTGAATGCACATTTTCAGCACAACGCACCAAAAATCACTTGAAGAAATCATTGTTCCTGATAGTGGGATTTTGTAACTTGTTTTTCAAAATACTTTTAAGGCAGAGAATTTCACTCGAATCTTTAAGCTGTCAGTGTCATTTTAACTCAAAATTTTCCAATCTTTCCGAAAAAAATACTTTTGAAACTGGAAAAACACGGAGTACATCCGAAAAGGGCCAAAACTTATTAAGTTATCAAAAAAAAAAAACAATATTAAATCAGTAATATCTTCTAAACGGTGCATCTTAGAAAAATGTTACCCAAGTACTTTTTGTTTGCAAATTTGATGTACTTTCATAAAATTAGGGTGACAAACTTTTTTGACTTTTCTTAATAGCTTTTTTGAAAATTGTATTTTTTTAAAAAACAATTTTTTTCATCGTAACCTATTTTTCTCCAGAACAACCTACTGTGCACTAGATAGCATTTTCAGTCAGCTATAACATAAGGATAATAAAAAAATTATTGACATGTCACTTTAAAGGGAAAATTTATATTTTAGTTCAAAACACAAATACCAAACTTTTTTTTACCGTGCATATTTTCTCCATATAACACCAACAATTGTCTAAAACTTCGCCCAAAACACCAAACCAATAGGACAAACCGTTTCCGAGATACAATTTTTTGAAGATATCATGTGCATTTTTCATAGGCCCTTCTCATAAGTAAGGCTAGATTCAAAATGACGAACCAAGTATGCAAAACGGCGTTTTTCTTCCCCAAAAACTTGTATGCAAGGTTTCATGCAAATCAAAAAAGATGAAAATTACTCGTTGCTTTAATGATATGGAACCGCTCAATAAAATAAAAACATCACACTCGATCAAACTCTTATGATGAACATTAAATGTACCCGAATTGGATGCGTTAATGGAAAATTACAACTAGATTTATCTTACTATCAGATTATCCGCAACGTATCAAATCCGGATGTATTGTGTGGGTGTGTTTGTGCCTTTAGAGATGAACCAGTCAAAGGCTCAAAGTCTCTTTCATAAAGGAACCTGATCCTTGTGTAAGGTAGGGTAGGAAAGGTAAGGTGGGTTATGAAGAAAGATGGATCATGATTATTAATTTATTTATTTGTTAGCATCAACAGGCTCAATGTACCACCAATGATGGTTTACTTTTTCAAAGCTAACCTATCTTGCCCAGTGGCTACAGTTGTTACTTAATATATAGATACACAATTCTTACTTTATTCTTTAGAATCATTTCAAAACTTAGACATGCTTTTGCTTACTATTACAGTCACACTTGAGATTCGATCGAATGTAGATCTTTAAGTGTCCATATTATTCGCTTCTTCGGGGAACCTCGAACCAAAAGCGCTTTTCAACATCGAAGAAATCAAACTCGAGCTGGAGGTCGTTGGATGTCAGAACATTTTCGTCATCAGGTTCAAAAATTGATTGTAACTTGGTGTCTTGTTTAGTTTAGAGATATTGACCCACCGAAGTTATTCTTGTTTTTCTTGAGTCTTTCAACTGTGGAACGGTTTCCAAGCAGTAGTCAACAGTCAGCGTTGCAAATCTTCCAGGTATCGTTCGTATAAAATCTGAGGAAGAAAAAATTCAGAATCAGATCCGATTACTTCAGGTTATTTTCAATTTACCAATGGTCACCAACGTTACTGACATCATATTCCCACTATTCGCATCCTACGTCCAACATGGAAAGGCAGCTGGAAATGATTGTTGACAACGTTTTTTCATTAGTATTCGGCGGCGACGGACACTAGGGATGATGCTCGATCAGAACCCATCGGATAATCATTTGTTTGATTTTCTGGTGCACCAAGTACGACGACGATTTTGATGCTCTTCTCTGATGTTCGTTTCCTATTCGGTGATACTCATGCGATACTAAATAAAATAAACACAGATTTCTCAGAGCTGAACACACTTTAATCTAGCAGCAATCACTTACCTTTCTTTTGCCGTCGGATCAAGTGTCCATAGAGAACAATCGTATCGTACCATCCAGAAAACATTATTTGCTATTCCAATATAACAATTTTGATTCCGCTCGTACCGATAGAAACGATAAAATATTTCATTTATATTATTTAAAAACACTGCAATATCCTCGGCAATATTACTACTAACAATCACAAATACCTCGTTCACAATAACTTAATGTAATAAAATATCACAACATGTCCGTCCAACATGATTTTAAAAGCAAAACATTCCCATTTTCTCCAAATCTTCTGCGCTCAATTGTTTTTCTCAACAAAATCTGAATAATAATTGTATTGACATCTACTTCCATCTTCTTGCGTATTCGAAAAAGTAGATGCAGCGAACGGTGCAGGGAGTGAAATCCGACAAAAGCGGACAAAAGCGATAAAAGTACACTGATCCAAAAAAGCAGTTTCATCTTGTTTGTCATCTGATTGTGATTTTAGATGTGTCGCCCCCCTCAGAGCGGCCTTCCTGGCGTTGGGAGCATTGGTACTCAATACTGAAAACAAGATCAACGAAAAAAAAAACAAGGAAAAAAAAAAGAAAACTGTTTATATTTAGCAACTGCAGCATACTTACTTACCCCAAGTCTTAAGATTTTCGGAAATCTTGCA